CTATCTATTTATCTGGTCACCAAGCCAAATTTTAACAAATAGATATTTCTAGGTAAATACCTGGGCTGACATTCACCAAATATTTACAGCATCAAAAGTTCTAAATGCCACACCTTTTCTCTATTCTTTATCATTATTATTATTAGGCAAGGGTCAATAGGGTGTTCAGAGTCTCACTACTAGATCCGACTCGTAGTGACCCACCTGTTTACAGTCTCCCAAGAGCTGGGATTACAGGCATGCTCCATGATGCCCAGTCTCAATTGCCAACTCAGCGCACCCTGGGGGCAGGGCTGGCATGGCAGGCCTGAGGATTGAATCCCTGACCCTGTACTTGCTTGCAGGCCCTTTAATCCAATGAGCTATATGTTTCCTTTTTTTATTTTTGATTGAACTCAGGCCCTTGTGCTTGCCAGGCAAGCACTTATTCTACTGGGCTATCTCCCTAGCCCCTCCAATGAGTTATTTGGCTGGCCCTTCTTTCTCTATTCTTGATTCCAGATTTTTTCATCAAAACACAGATAACAACAGATTGAATAAAAGAAGCAGATATGAAAAACCTGCTAGTTTTCACTTGAGCCAAAGATTAAACAGAGTTTCACAAAGTAATGGAGGCCACATTCTCACTAATATATTACTATGAAAATGAACTATTTTTATAAGTATGTGTTATTTTAATGTAATGCCTTTGATTTCTGCCTTTTTCACAATAAATATGTGCAATTTTTATCGGTTTTAATTTTACCATGGCAGATATTAATAGATATATCCTGTATAAACCAAAGCCTTTGGGGGTCCTTTTAATTATTAATCATTAGAAAGGAGTTATAATACCAAAAACATTGAAAAATTCTGCCCCAGTGACTACTAAAAGTATAGCATTCAATCCAATCCCTTTCATCAGCACTAATTTATATAAACACAGTTAGCAGACAACTCTAAATAAGTTTTCAGCAAACACTTGGTTTCATCCACAGCCAGACAAATTTGCTGTCTCCTAGTTTTTCCAACTTTGCTGGGTGACAGCACAGTGCATCTGGTCGGTGCCTCATTTCTCAACCTCTCATTAACTGATTCCTACAACTCCACACTCAATCCACTGGCAGTTCCACTCACATCTCTAAGAAAACTTAAGAGCAGTCACCCCACTGTCACAAGCTATCACAACTACCCAGGCTATTTAAATCATCACCACAGCTACTTGGCATCTTGGAAAACCCAAATAGTTAAGGTTTTCAAACGATAGTAATAGAAAACTACAAGTGCAGTACTTTCCATATCATTATCCAAATCTAAATAATTTACATAATATATTATTTTTTTATTTTCAATGCAGTAATTTAGTCATTAAAGTGATTCTGTGTTCTGTAACCAATTTTGACAGCCATGATGCAAGAGAGTACGTGATATATAGTTGATGAAATAGTTTTCATAGATAAGGATAAGCATATAACTCTGAAAGCTTTACAACATGAAGACCAAATAAATTATATCTGAACATTTTTGTATATTTCAGAAACTTTTAAATCTTGATGATGGATTAAAATGTAAGTTTTACATTTTCATTTCATTAGATGTATAGTTCAGCTTACCTTATCAAGTTCATCTGAAATTGCAATACCTGGGATTCAAAAGAGATTTATAAAAAAGTTTTAGAAACACTCTTTAATAAACTAATGTTTAAAAAGAACAAAAGCTGTATTTGTAAAACTAGTGAATTTCCTATTCTATTTTTTTCTTTGTGACAGTTCTTCTAAACATGGCAGCACATCCTTTCCACCAATGGAAACAAATTAAGAACTTAAGTCAACTCTGCGAGGTGAAGCAGTGCAGAGGAAGCAAAGAAAACAAAACACCGCACTTCTCATAGTTTGCTAGAGGCAGAACAAACTTCCAAGCACAATTGTGGAAAGATAATCTTTATGTTATGATGACAATAAAGTATGATTTAGCTTGTTATAATTTTGCTCTATTTAGTGATTTGCACTCCTATAATGAATAAATATCAAGGCAGAATGGTGACCGAAATGGTAAAATTTATGTAAATGTTTTTGTTTTGTTTAGGAAGAAACAGAAAAAATATTTAAGGCCCTATGACCGGTTCTTGAGCCAATATTCACTTCTGTACATGGTGATGACCAGTAAATCTTTACAAGCAGCAAAATCTTTTTCCTGAGCATTTGGGCATTTCAACCCCAGCATGTCAGGCTAAAAACATCATCCACCTGAGTCAGGTCATAAGAAGAAAGATAGGTAAAAAGAGGACAAAATAACTCTTAAAAATAAAAGCTACAGCTTCAGGGCATAAGCCTAGTTTAAAATTCTTTTTTCTTCTCTCCATAAACACAGTAAGACTTGGCATTTTTCTTTTACCCAAAAATGGAATTTTTCCATTATCTTTATCTACTAATGAAAAAAATCTCTTTTCTCCTGAAAACAACCTTCCTGCTGCGTGGGCTACAGCTCTTATTATCGCGAGGACTGTCACCTATGAACAGTCTATCTATGACCCTTCCCCAATAGAAAGAGCTGTTGCCTCCCATATGTAAACCAAAATCCTTCTTTCCATATATTCACCAGCTGTATAGATTTCCACAACCAAATCACCCATAAATATATCCAGACAAGACTATTACATACTGTTCCACAGAAGACCTGCAGTCTACTTCAAGTGTGTACTTCTGAATTTCTGCTAAGTAAATTCCTTTATGCCTCTACGGACTTGCCTTGACAATTTTTTTTTTCTCCAACCGTAGTTGGGATAACTGAAACTTATTCTAAGGGTAGAGAGATTCACTCATCCTCCTCACTGCTTTGAGAACCCATAGTCTGCTGTCCTGTGATACTCCTAGATCATTTTGATTTTTGTTTATTTATTTGTTCTTGAACAATGGCATGCCTAGGGCTGAAGGCAAGGCTTTGTGGAGTAACTGCAGCCATACTTCAGGCTTGAGGTAGAGAAAAAAGAGTAGCTGGAATGAAATTTCTTTAGAGGGCTGGCCTGAAAAGGTTAAAATTGAGGTCCAAGACAGCACACAGAAAAGAAGGACAAGATTTCAAGCTGAAGTGTCCTAGACTATAAAGAACAAGAAGGAGGTAAAAAGGAAAATTTTCTCCAGAAAATAAAATGGAGTAAAGATCCTGTTTAGATCCCCTTCCCTGTTTAAATGCAAAATTTCTGCAGAGGGTAGAGCAGGTACCAGTTTCTATAACAGCTCCTGTCACCATGTAGAAGATCTCAAGGGATTTTCCTCAGGGTCTTGGTGACTTGAGAAATGGTCAGGACACACAGGAAAGGCAGTGCAAGTATACATTCATGTAAGGCAGAAAGGCACTCTGCAAGTCAGGAGCAGGCCGGTGAGTGGACTCACAGGATAAAGGAAAGGATCTTTCATATCCCAAGTTCCCAGACTGGCTTCTCCCACATGCTATTAAGGCATTGAGATATTTGTCCTATCAAAATTCACTTGACCTGCAGCCAGATCAACCTCCTCTAGCTAAAGATTTCCTAGGCTCCCTGCCAGAAGTTTCTCATTGGTCCCACAAACAACACTAGATTGAAATGAGGGAATGAAAATAGTGCTTTTTTGGTTGGTTCTGTATACAGTACTGAGGAACTGTGGAGTCATCTTGGTTTTTATGTTGTTGTTGTTTTGTCTTGTTTTTAAATCTTTGACACATTCTGTCCAAGTAGTTGTCCAGTGTGCCCCAGCCCTAATCTCCTACCTCACTCCCCATACTACTAACCTAATAAATCAATTGTAGACAAAGAAAAAAACCTAAAATATCAATTGTTCATCTTACTAAATGGCATCATTCTTTTCCCTATGGATAAAGCCAGAAATGCATGAAGGCATATTTGAGACACACTCTTCAAAGCAACATGTTATTTTTTTTAAATAAAAGTAAGAATTTTGATGTATCACTATATGAAAGGAGTCTGGCTACTCCTTAAGAGATGGAGCAGGTTCTGGGGCTTAGCAGTTACTCAAACTTGCAGAGCCGTACAGGGAGGCCCTCTAAGCGACTCAAGAAGAGACTTCATGGAGTGCTGCGTGGGACCGGGTCACATCACTCTCATGTGTACTGCATGGGGGTAGGGAGAGTGTGAAAAAGATAAGAGGCCTCAGAACTTTCTGGGTGGATATAAACATTTCAAACGAGCTAACAAACACTCACAAATGTTTGGCTTTTAAAAATATATGGAACTACAAATGATCAGTTTGAATGACTCATATTATACAAAAATGTAGGAATTTTGACATACTGCATGGTTTATATCATAGTTTGCAGTATTTTTAAATAATATATTCCAGTTTCTGAAAGATAAACAGGTTTTAAGTGCTTCTATTTATAGTTACTACATTTTACAAAAATGCTTATTTCTAATATAATTTAAGATTAGTACTGTGTTCTTATTTAAAGAGGGAAAAGATAAGATGAAATAAAATTTCTTTCTCATTATAAATGATAACTTTATGTAACTGGAATTAAATAAACCATGGCTCAACTGATTAAAATATTTAAAACTCTTGAGTTTTAAAAATTGTTACACTAATATCTGTAGACTTTTTAAAGACACTTTTATTTGAGTTTTAGAACGCTATCTGTGATCAATAAATTTCTCTTACACTTCAGATTTACGAATCCACTATTCATAAAGATAGCAGGGATACATTTACTGATCTAGAATGCAGCCAAGACTTACTTGTTTTAGCAAGTAAGTAAAACAAAACAAAATAAAACAAGTCAAAATGTAAACCATATAGTACAAGCTCCTCTCAAGTACAAGAGCACCATGAGGTGTTAGTTAACTGGGCTGAAAACCTTCAGTGACAACAATGAAGATAAAGAAAAATTTCACCCTGAATATACATTTTATGTATTTATTTATTTATTATTTTATGTTTTAGGGAAGGGTCTATATGGTGTTCAGGGTCTCACTACTCGATCAGACTCATAGTGATCCGCCTGTTTAGAGGCTCCCAAGAGCTGGGATGATAGGTGAGCACCACCACACCCAGTCTCAAGATTAGTACTGCATTCTTACTTAAAGAGGGCAGTCCTAGCATGCCCCAGGGGCAGGGCTGGCATGACAGGCCCAGGGCTTGAACCTGGACCTTGTGCCTGCTTGCAAGGGCTTTAATCCACTGAGCTATTTGGTCAGCCCTTGAGTATTAGAACTTTTTACATTTTAGTAGAAGTTATATGCCCCAGAATAAAATTCAAACTAGTTAAATGCAAATTTTGGTTTGAAGAAAGAACTATGCCTCTCATTATTCCAATTTTGGTCCTAATGTAGTTTCTTCAAATTCCTAGTATCTAATTTTTCTTAAACATGCACATTTTAGTGACTTTGCCAAATAGATTATCCAAAGAAATCTCCATTGTATTATACAGAATGATTTCATCTTTTTATTCTCAATGTCAAAATGCCTAGGATAATTTTTACTTTTCTATTTTGTGAATGCTTTCAGTAATTAAAAGCAATTGAAAAATATTTAATGGAACACTTCTTCACAGAAGCCTGAAGCTCCAGTGGGAAGCATTTATACTGATTCACCTGAATAGCCATCTTGGGTGGGGCTGAATGTCCACTTACTCCCTGAGAAGGGCTGAACAACTTTTAGTCATTTATTAACTCTTAAAAACATATTTTACTCTGAGATTTTTTAAAGAATACAAAATAGTTATTTAAAAAATAGCATTAGAAATGATACAAGATTTCACTAAACAAAGTAATAGGAATTCTACAATGGCTGCTATGTTACAGGATGCTGTCTTCAAATTAGTTGTTCAGATTTCCAGATATAAACACGTAAAATTCCTTTAAAGAGAAGAACAATAACAGAGAAGTTATAAGAAATTCAAAACAGGGAAATAATCAGAGTAAAAAGAAAAAAAAAGAATTAAGCATTAACTGATCTTTTTAAAAGACTAGGACTTTCTCATAGTAGAAAATATGAAAAAAAATGTAGTGAGTTATTACAAAATACAGGAAAATAAGGCAAAGGATTTGAGTGTGGGACCCTTAATATAGAAGGAACACCAGGCTCTTGTAAAAGTCAAACTGAGAGCCAATGCACGTGCCCTACCAGAGAAGCCAAAGGGAGCTTTGCCTGGAGTAGTGATGGTGTCCAACCCTAAGAGCAAGCTCCCTTGAAGAGTCGGGGAAGTGAACACTTTCAGAGTCAGCTTCTCTTCTAAGTAACGAGGCATGTCAGGGATGTACTTCCTGAGTCTGCTGTCATTCAAATTGGTCATCCCTCAACTTCTAGAGATTCCCATTTATTTTCATCTCAAAAGAGATCTCAGCAACATTTGGAATTTATTCCAAAATTTAGTTCTCACATCCTCAAATGTGTACTGTGTTCTAGTGCAGAAACAAGAGCTACCTGCTTCACTGGGATGTCCACCTCCCATCACTTTAACCCTAGATGGAGAAGGAGGTTGTAGCTCTAAGTAACTGAAGCAGCAAATTTTCACCAATTCTCTACACCTTCGTATAGTCTGCTTCCTGGAAGTGGTCAGAGAAGTCAATATATTATGAAACGGTACTGACTAATTCTCCAAAGTCTAGTTCCTTATTGGGAATAAACTCACTGATAGTATAATGTAGAG